ATATCAGAAACTTCCTTTTCCTCTTCTTTCTAAAAGCAGAGATTTTTAGCAGCATTATTTCTTATTCCCAGACCATTAGTCAAAGAACATCAACAGAGAAGGGCAAGGTAATTTAGAAGTCGGGTCAGCTACCACTAATTATTAAGTTAACTCTCTACTCTTTTGTACCTAGACTTCAGAAAACCAAAATCAAACCCACTGTCACAGAGGTGACAATGACCCAGAGGGTTTTTGAGGTGGTGAAATCTTTGCAGACCAGATGACCTCATCTTTGCCCCCGGGAACAGATGGAGGCTCAGACTGCCGTCCAGGGTCCACTCAGCACCATCAGCCGAGCTCCATACTCAGGCTCACAGATCCCGTAATGATAGCATCGTGACACACGTATCCAGACACCAGAAAGGGTTTCTATAATTCTTCTTCTTTTTAGATAAAACAATAATTTCATCCTATTAACCAGACTTATTTTAAGATGATAAAGATGTTCTGTTGTTTGTTTGTTTGTTTTCCCATCAAAGAGAAACGTACTTACTAATCAGCACTCTGTAGAGGGCCTGAAGAGGCTCCTCCGTGGAGTCCCAGGGTGTACTCTTTCAATCAGAGTTCTCCTTACGTGTCCTGGGAATGCCAGCGCCCTTGATCGATCCAGGCTCGGGGGTCCTAAATTCAGGACGTCTATTGGGTTCCAGGGGTCAGATGGCAACGGGTTTGGCTTTCTTACTGGGCTCCGCCTGGGTTCTACAGCCTGGAAACCCTCTCTCGGTCACTGTGGTTGGGGGCCATCAAATTGCTTCCGACTCAGAGCAACTGCTTAGGCCTACAGGACCGCCCCGTCGGGTTGACTGGGTTATTCATTGCCCCACAGGCTGCCTGGGTGAGCTTCAGGGAGCAAAGAAACAGGCCAGTTCTAACTGCCGACTTTTCATTTACCGGCCAATTGCTTAACCCTGACCCACTAGGGAATAAGCAGGGCTAATCAGAGGGCTCTTTATTAGTTCCCCATCTTCCAGAGATCATTGTTTTTCAATGCTCATGTTCCATTATCTTGAAATCCGCTGGGTCATACATTTTTTGTCCTGTTTGGGGGTTATTTTAGGTGAGTGAAGAAATCAGGTCCCATTTACTCCTAGTTGGACAGGGACATGTCGTGGCCCGCTCTTTCCAAGTAGCACACTTTCTGTGGGATACCGTAGGGTTGCAGTTGAGCTGGTGCGACTCTACCATCCCAACCTTATTTATTTTGCTTCTCCCCACTCACTCTGCTCCAGGACACTGAGTTTCTTCCTGCTTCTCCTACACACTAAGCCCATCCCCTCTCCAAGGCCTTGGTATCAGCATTACATCTGCCCAAGGAATACTTCCTTTTGAGCTTGCCATCATGGACTACGTGTCATTTATTATAGTGGTTATCACTTTCTACCACATCAGTCCAGTTTCATAATCTTCAGAACAGTTGGTGGAGTGACCGCAAGGTCAGCCATTTGACACCACCAGCGGCCCCTTGGGAGAGAGAGAAGGCTTTCTACTCCCCTAGAGAGTCACCGTCTCGGAGAGAGAGGGCTTTCTACTCCCCTAGAGAGTCACAGTCTCGGAGAGAGAGAGGGCTTTCCACTCCCCTA